TATATATATATATATATATATATATATATATATATTGATCTAGATAATGCTTGTGATAGAGTACTTGAGATTTGATATATTGACCTAGAGAAAGCTTATGATAGAGTACCTCGAAATTTGATTTGGTGGGTGTTGACAAAGGAGTCTTCAGGCACTACATTGACTGAGAGAGAGATATGTATGATGGAGCTCTAACTAGTGACAAACAACTAGTGGAGAGAAGTGAGTTTTCAGTGGCAATAGGTCTACATCAAGGGTCAACATTGAGCCCATACTTCGTTGTCTTAATTATGGACGACTTAATTAGGCACCTACAGGATGAGGCACTGTGGTGCATGTTGTTTGCAAATGATAGTTTTTGATCGATGTGACCCGAAACGGTGTCAACACAAAGTTAAAACTTTGATGGACGCCCTAGAATCCAAAAGTTTTAAAATTAGCCGGACTAAGACAAAGTGTATAGAATGCAAGTTTAGTTATAATAGTAATAGAGACGAGGAAGTAGTTATGATTGACGGCCATGAAGTACAAAAAAGATCGCACTTTCGATATCTTGGGTTTATCCTAAAAAATGGAGAGAATGAAGAAGATGTCGCACACAGAATTAGAGTTGGGTGGGTAAAGTGGAGATGTGCAACTGGAATCTTATGTGATCGCCGCATACCAATGAAGCTGAAGGGCAAGTTCTATTTGACAAATGAGATCAACTTTGCTCTATGGGGTTGAATGTTGGACGGACAAAAAACAATATACCCATATAATGAGTGTAACAGAGATGAGGATGTTGAGATGGATGAGTGGCAAAACAAGAAGGGATATAATTCAAAATGAATCAATTCGAGTGAATTTAAGTGTGGCACCAATAGGCGATAAGATGAGAGAGCGTAGACTTAGGTGGGCTGGCCATGTGTGAAGCCGACCAAGTATAGCACCTGTTAAGAGGTGCAAGTTAGTTCAAGTGTAAGGACTGAAAATGGCAAGGGACAAGCCCAAAAGGATGCGGTTGAAAGTAGTCCGAAAAGATATGGGAACTTATGGCCTCATTGAGGGTATGGCCTTTAATGGAGCAGAATGGCAGACCAGGATTCGTGTAGCCGAC